TGTAAGTGTGCTGGGTATCTTTTACATGGCAAGTTAGTAACGCTGAGTCATAAAAGATCTTAGTGTTGTGAGTCTCCTGGTGTAATAAATGAAGGCCTGTTGATCAGCAGTCTCTCACTTGAACTTTTAGGGTTTAATCAAGTAGGTCAATCCAGGAGAAGGAAGAAATAATGCAATAGCTTTGAATCATGCTCCTTGGTCATTATTTATATTGGTTCTATTGTGGATAGAGTAAAACCCAAGAAACGGCTCCCTTTTATATAAATCTCACAAACAAAACTCCATTACTACAAAGAAACCACATCTGGATCATTTTTAGGTTTAGTTGATAGATTTTTAAAATCTAAAAAAAAAATCATTTTAAAATAAATTATATATATATGTATATATGTATATATATACACATATATTTATTTTTTTAAAATTTTTTTAGAGAGAGAGAGAGATCTAGTCACATGCTGGACTTATTGCATTCAGCTTCTAGGAGGCACCCTGGATATTTGAGTTGCAGACCAAGGCAGGATGCAGCTTCTTGGTCTAAATATGAAGCCATTGCAGGTACCTGCATTTTTGGCCAGTCTGGTGCAGCTCCTCTGTTTCAAAAAGAAATCCAGTTGTATAAAAATCTATGGAGCACTTAGTCCTTTGAACTGTAGCCTCAGTTACTCAGTTACTGTAACTCTGAAGTGTTTATAGACTCAATCCCTAGTTTCAAGTTTCATTTAAGATGACATTTATTTTGATCCAGTTAGTCAAAATGCGATCGTTCAGGTTGAGTCTAACTTGTGATGAACAACTACATAAGTTTTAAGTGTCTCTTAGTTTCTTAGTTGAATTGGAAACATTTATTTCTCATCTTGTCCAGTTTCAAAACAACAGGTTCCCTTTCAAAGTGGTTATGACCCTATTTCAATATAATCTTTGACTATAGCTTCATCTTTGTAGGGTTTTCATGTTATGAATCTAAATACAGTCTGTGTTATGGGTTTATGGGAGGTCCCAATTCCGTCAGAATGTCATTAAAAATTTCTTTCTAACTTCTTTCTATTTCATGAATGTTTCAGTCACCTAGATCCATTTGGTACGGCAGTGAACTACTTGGATGCTGCCTTCAGAAACGTCAGAAACCTGGGCATCATCTCTGTGACATCCACAGACACGAGCTCCCTTTATGCCAAGTCCCCCAATGTCACCCTGCGTCACTATGGCTGCCACATTGTACGTACCGAATACTACAAGGAGTTGGCAGCACGAATGGTCGTGGCGACTGTAGCCAGGTAGGCTGTTTTTATTTCAATGTGGGATGTGATGCAGAATTAAATCAGCTTTTTATACTGATTAACTTCCATCTGCTGCAGAGCGGCAGCACGCTGCAACAAGGGCATTGAGGTGCTGCTAGCGGTGGCATTAGAGCATTTTGTGCTGGTGGTTGTGAGAGTCCTCAGAGGTCCTGTGCAAGCTGATGAGTCAGCCAAGAAGTTACGAAAACTGATGCACTGCCAGTGGTGTGAGGAGAGAGTGTTCCTCAAACTGGGAAACATGGTGGATGGTGAGTGGCTGAAAATCATATACTGTAGAGGATTCTTTACAAGCTTTTAAATCATGAAGCATTAAAGCAATTTAA